AAAATCAACAAACAACTATGAACCAGAGACACTCTATGGGGGGTGGGGGGCAGGGAAAGGAGGGATTGGGGTCAAAATAAGGGGGTTGCAATTGTATGGGGAATATAAAAATAAAATTTAAATAAAAAAAAAAAGATCACATTTCTCAGAGCCAGGGAGAAATTGGATAATTTTGCTTAGGAGTTCAAGGATACTTACAAGGATACTGGGTCTGTTTATAGATCTGATTTCTGCTTATGTTGAGCCAATTTCCCAATTTGGGAAAGAGAAACTAAGAGATGAAGCATGTTCTTGGGCGGCTGGGCAGCTGAAGGGTCACACAGGGCTGGGCTGGGAAGTCCCAGGGGAGTAAACAGCCTGAGCCAGACCAGGAAATGGAGGAAGCTGGTTGGTGGGGAAAGCAGAGGAAGGAGCGGAGACGCAACGTGCTGGGTCCTGCTGACTTGCCAGTTTCTACTCTGCTCTCACGAGGCCTGACTGTGCTAAAGCTCCCAACCTTCTATTACATGAATATGATTCCAGGCACACAAAAGGAAAAAATCTTCTTTTGCAAGCTAGCTTGAATAAAGACAGCATTGCTCCTCTTGAATGCCAAGAAGGGGAAGACAGTATGGTATGTGGGGACAGAAATTATTATCTAAACCAGGAATCTTTTGAGAGGAAGAGAGTGCTAAGAATTACCCCAGGACAACAGGTATAAGTAAACCAGGACAGCCACAGGCAAGGGCATACATGATAGTTCTCAGGAAGGGAAAGTGAATCAGGAGACCCAAGTTGCATGCCTAACTCTGCCCCTACTTCTCCATATGGCCCTCAATGAGTCATTTATTTAGTGCTGTATTAATATAAAGGCTAGATTAATTATATATTAATATTAATGTAGTCTCTCAATCATCCATTTTAAAACTGCCATAGTATTAGTTTCTTGAGACTAAAGCAAAGGAAAGAAAATAATGAAATACAAAGCAGATTAAGAGATGCTAAAGGTTCTTTTTTTCTTTTTCTTTATCTTTTTCTAAGATTCTAAATCCTCTGAACTCTGAAAAGAGGCAGCTTGAGAGATAAGGTAGATATGTAAAAAGGAGCCCTTTAAGATAATGTAGTTGGCATCTCTATATAAACAACAGTGAAGATGTTTTACTGATTTGACTTTAAAAAAGAAGACTCCTGGGGCCTCCCTGGTGGCATAAGGAGTTAAGTCTCAGCACAATGAAGCTGTCCGCAGCTACCATAGCACGCAGGCGTTCATCCCCCAGTCAGGGAGGGGACCCACATGGCGCAGCAGACCTCTCCTGTCTCTCCTGCTGCTCTCCTCAGCAGTGTATTTCAGTACATCTGCCTGTTCTGTACCCCACTCTGTCTCTGGTAAATCCTCTTGCCCACCCCCCCACCTCTGGCCTGTACCCCAGTTCTTGTATGCATAAATAAATCTTTAAAAAAAATAAAAGAAGACTCCCACATATTGACCAATCAGTGTTGTTTGGTTAAATTGGCAGTGGTTACAGTTTATTTCCTGAGCATGGGTACAACAGCTCCTGGAGGAGGCCAGCTGGAACCCACTTGCCCAGAGCCTCAGGGCCCGGCAAAGGGGAAATGCATTTCTTCTGTTCATCTCATCGCTGAGACTAATGCTCTAAGTCCTTCCTTGGCCTGTGAATAGGAAATTTCCTCGTTCACTTACCAGTCCACCTCTTACCAGCGAGGGCCAACTTTGGCCAGCTCCACATCTCCATTTCTGGGAGAGGTTAAAAGCTATCAGAAAGTCGAAGGGCAAATTTAGAACTCTGAGTTGCACAGCTGCTCTCAAACAAAGGTCACATACGCCTGTGTCATACAATCTCAGAAGTCTAGAGCTAGAAGGAAGCTGATCTGCTCTATAAGCTTCAGTTCTTTGACTAAAGACAATAGCAAATGTTACAATCTAGGCATTGTGCAAGTCACTGTGCTGGAGGCATTACATCAATCATTTTATTTCATTCTTGTGACAACCCCAATATAGATTTTTATTATCCCAGTTTTCAAAGTGAGGAAGCTGAAGTTTTAAGGGGGTTAATAATTTGCTGTTGGTTTGTTCAACTTAATCCAAGTACTTGTTAATGACACAAAAAAGGAAATTTAATCAAGTTCTGCTTATTCTTGGGGCACTGTTCTCACAACTAAAATGATCAAAAGTGGGACAACAGGCATCTACTGTGAACCCAACATGTACAAACACTGGGCTAGGTGCCAGGATGATTAGCTGGGTTACCAAATGAAATATAACATGAAATCTTGCCCTTCCGGACTCTGGGGAGGAAAAGAGATTGCAGGGTAATGCAAAGCTCTGTCTTCAGGGAGGTCAAAACACTTGGTAAAGGGGCTCTTCTTAATACTCCAAATATTCCCCAGGAAGTGGGTGGTGGCTGACAGGTGGAAGGCATTACTCTCTTGCAAATGAGAAAAACGAAGCAGAAACAATCACAGAACTTGCCCACTACAAGGTAGTCACTAGTGAGGTCAAGAGTGGAACCAAATTGTCCTCGTTCCTGTCATCATATTCCCTGGCAAAATAAAAATCTCTCTTCAGTCACCTCTGGTCACTACAGGACTCAAAGACAATCACTACTTGATAGGAATGATTTTAGTAAGTTTCTCATCACTAGCCAAATCTATCCATTTGAATTTCATCCCTTGTCTTTCCTCTCTTTATGATATAGACAAGACAGGGTATGGATAATCTTCAATAAAAAACAAAGAACTGGGAATTTCATTGTGGACTTTTGTGACAACTACATTAACATCAAGTTATGAATGAAGTGGTCCAGATAATATTGCTGAAATAATGACAGTCATCACTGATTACCTGTCGCATGACTGATATTGGGCCGGGTCCCCTTCACATGGATTATCTCACTCAGTCTCAAAATAGCACGAGACAGAGCCAAGGGTTATGTGGGGCTTGAAGATTCATTTTGCCCAAGATAGCTAACCTCCTTGCCTGTCCAAGTAATGAAACTGAGGCTTAAAGAAGTTCAGTAACATATCCAAAGTCAAAATAGTATAAATTCCAAGGCTTTGAACATAGAGTGTCTGAATTCAAATCTCATATCAATTTTCTTGTAGTAGCTTCTAATACTAATTTAAAAAATTGCTGTCATTTACAAAGCACTAACTATATCACAGGAAAATTATACTCATTTTCCCTAGTAATTCACATAACCTGTTTATTTACATGAGTTGTTATTATCTCCATTTACTGATGGGGAACTAAGAATCAAGAGTTCTAGCTAGGCAGCAAGCCCAAGTCACCCAGCTAGTACACGCTGGAGCCAGGATTCATGTCCAGGGGAGTCGATCTGCAGCGTTCCCATCACTCTGCAGATGATCCAGGAGAAAAGATCAGTAATGTGAGATGTCTGGTTACAAGAGTCTTACAGGTGTCCACTGAAACTAGCCTTGTCAATTACTCTCACATACCTCAGTGTGCAGTGTTCCTTAACAGGGTTGGGCAATTCTGAAAATCCACTTATCCCATAAATTATCCAACTACAATTCTTTAGCTACATTGGCGCCCATTCCTCAGAAAAAACCCTGTGCAAAACTCAATCACAAATAGCTATGCAAACTCAGGGGCCAGGCAAGCTGCCTCACCCGAAATGGAGAGCCACAGCGTCTGAGAGCTGCTAATATCTGAGGCACTGGGAAGATCACTCACCTCAAAGGGCTCTACTGACATAGTCCTTCAAAGATACAAAAGAAAATTCAGGGACTGGCTATGATGGAACTGATATCCCTAAACACTCTTGCCATGGATTTGCAGGAGGACAGGTGCAGAGAATATTAGGTTTTTCCTTGAACATGAGTTCTCAGGAGAATGGCAGTCTATAAGAAGCTCAGACAGTGGGCTTCATCTATCCTTGGCAATGTGAACTTTTAAAAAATTAAATTAGTCTTTGCCAGGGTACTTTTTTAAAGTGGCTTTACTAGATTTCAAGTTATTGGTGACTTTTGGAAACTTTTTTTTAAAGAAACACATCTGCTGCCATTTGGATGGAGACAACTTTACTAACTGGGAGTGCAGGGGCCAAACAGGATGAGGCCCAGCTTTTTTTATCCAGTCAACAGCAAGTGCCAGCCAGTGGGAGAAATTAAGCTTGTGGTTATGGGTGCTAACCAGAAAGGTTGTGCCAGTGATTTTTTTAAAAGGAAAAAGTGATCCTAGAAACTCTCTCTTGTTCCTCTTTCATAGGGATTGGTGGATGTGGGGGAAAGGCAGAAGAAATGACCACCAGTGATTCAACTAGGGGAAAAGACAGATTCAGATTCTTTTGCCTAAACAGCTCTTTGCCTGTACCTTTTGACTGAGAAGACCAAGCATCTACAGTCAAACAGAGCAACACACACACTTTTGGTACAAGATACCAAGGTGCTAAGGAGTCTGGTAAGCACAGATGGCCTGAATTGGCACCTGGCCCCAGACTCGGCCAGGCAACCAACAACTGCCTTGCCCAGCCCAGAAGGGCAACAACATGATAAACCATACACCAGCTTCTCCCCAGCCTCACACCACTTCAAAGGCACAACCAGCAGCCAACAAACCTTCCTTGTCTGTAGTATTTTTCGGTTCGTTTTTTGTTTTTTTTTTTCCCCACAACGTGGAAAGGAAATGAGTTTGGGGCCAACAAAGATTCGGTGTAGGGAGGACGTGGGGGTAGAAGGGTGCAAAAGGTAGAATACAAGTGAATGCCTTTTTTAAAAGTCTACACTGGTAGGTAGTCTTATTAATAAAGAGGACATAGTCGTTTCCATTCCTTTCCATCCGTCTTTAACCCTTACCAACCCCAAGAAGACAAGGAAAAAAGGGAGTTAGTGGGGAGGCTGCGCCCGGGAGCAGATCTTTCCCGCACAAAGATCAACAGAGGGGGGGTGGGCTGGAAATGCTCTCCACTCCTTGCTCTACGCGCGCGCGTGCACACACACACACACACACACCCCGCGAGCGCGCGCCGGCCCCGCCTCACCTTCTCTATCTTCTGGTCCACGGCCTTCTGGAAGACCCGGGCCACCAGCAGGGTGACGCTGGTCACCAGCAGGAGCAGGGAGAGCGTCCCCACCACGTAGTAGCAGCACCTGCCCATTCTGCACGCCGCTCACCGGCCGGCGATGCCGGCGGCAGCACCCCAGGAACTGAGGGGGGCCGCCTCCGCGGAACCCGCCGTGGCCGCCGGAAGCCCCGGGATCCTCCCGCGCGGCGCCCGCTTGCTGGGGCCCGCGGCGCGGCCCGACGGGGTGCGCGGCTCCCGGCTCGGGAGTGCGCCGCGCGGCCCGGGGAGGTGCAAGGCCGGGCTTCGGTTTTGGTTTCAAGCCGAAAGCAGCGGCGGCGCCCGCCCGGCGCAGCGCAGGTCGGAGAGAGGCAGCGCGCAGGCCGAGACGCTCGCGGGCCCGGCTCGCCGCAGCCCAGGAGGCGGCTGCCAACAGCTGCGCCGCGGAGCGGGCGGGGCGGGGGCGGAGCGGTCCTGTGCCCGCGGCGGCCCGGCCCCCGCGAGCCCCCGCGAGCCGCGGCTCGCCCGGCGGACCCCGCCGAGGCTCGACCTCCGCGGGCCACGCCGCGCTCCCGCCGCTCGCTGCAGACCCCGCGGCCGCCCGGGAACGCGGCCGTGCGCCGAGGCCGCCCGCTGGCCACTCCGCAGGCGCGCGCTGCGGCCGCCGCGCCCTGGGCGCGCGCTCACGGCAATCGTAGCGCAGTGGGACAAGTTCTTGCACGACGCGTGTGCCGAGATCTGTGCCCACGAGCGCCTTCCGCCCCGGTGAGCTAGGACCCTACGAATGAAACAGGGTCTTGGGGCTTTCGTAAGTCTGTCACTTGAGGGGTATGTGCAAGGGTGGAAGGAGACCTTTTAAGAGGAAAGGGGAGTGTGATGTTGGGGGTGGAAAAGCAAGATTGTGGAAGGAAAGAGGGAAATTCTTTGTGACTGTCGGTTAGAGAATGCAGAGTGGCGGGGGGGAGGGGTGGCGCTGTCTTGGGGCCAGGCTTTGAAGGACTCTCTGTGTTCCCTAAGAGTTAAGACTTGACGCATGTAAGGGCAGGAATGACGCAGGGCAGGTTTTCTGATCCAGCAGACTGGGGTAAAGGAGGAAAGAGTCCTGGAGCCCTCAGTGGCTTTTATTGAGATTTACCAGGCACACAGCAGGCTGGGGGGGCTGGGAGGCCTCTGGTGTGGGCTCTCTGGTGATCTTTGCTGCTCTGCTCTCTCGTGGTTCTGCTTCTGCTTCTCTGCTTCTGCTCGCGTCCCCGTGATGCTGCCCTTAAAAGCCCAGTCTTAGCCCAGGTGTACCCACCATCAGGCATGCATTCAGGACCGCAGGTTCCTTCATCTATCCTAATGGCGGGAGGTCAGAAAAGTCTGATACTTTTACCTTACCCTACACCCATCAGCCGTGGGCGTCAGCATGAAGCTTCAAGCCAGCGATCCTGATGTTGCATCTGCTTTGCCCACTGACATGCCCTGGGAATCCAGACAAAAACCTGCACAAAGATCTGTAGGATCTTAATATTAGTTGAGTGAACGATCAACTCTGTCAGGCTTTCACTAGGTGCTTATACAGCGGTAGGGTAAGTAAATGGTACCAGGCTTTTCGGCCCTCCTGCCATTAAGATTAATGATGGATCCCTGCGGTCCTGAATACATGCCTGATGGCGGGCACCTGGAGTAGGGTGGATATGTAGATGGGATTCACCCAGGCTGAGAGACTGGGCTTATAAGGGCAGGCCTCCCAGCCCCCTGGCACCTCAATAAAAGCCTGAAAAGCTGTGGAGGGCTCTAGGACTTCTCATTCACAGGGTTTGATCAGGTCATAGAAAACCTGCACTGTGTCCATTCCTGCTGTTACAACACCCCTGCTTATTTAATACCCACAGCAGACTGATACCTAACATGCTGTCTCAGACCTCAAGTAGCGCTAGACAGGAGAGCTTATACTCGAAAATTCTGAGGGAACATGGACAGATAGCTGGGATGCAGTAGCTATCTTTGTGAAGTAGACAGGAAAGGAACGGAGGTTGGATGGAAGGAACTTATATGACAGAACAGCTCTAAAAAAGTGTATGGGGTGGGATTGGGGAGTATCCTTGAGCTAAATTCATCCTTCCCAGGAACCCAGCATATCCCGGGAATAGGTTCTTGTGCTCAGTCACAGGCTGGGAGCAGTGCTAGCAAAACAACCTCTGCACCAAGCTAGAGGGGAATAGAGGGGCTAGATTTCAGAATCAAGAGCTGGGGCAGGGCCAGTGATCTATTATGTTCTGCCCTGGAAGATTTGAGAAGTGGCTTTTCTTGGCTGCTGTAGTAGTAGTTTTCCCATTTACACACAAGGAAACCACAATTCTGAGAGTTCAGTAATCTACCAAGCTCAGCGAGTTGCTAACTGGTGAATCCTGCCTAGACACCAGAATGCAGGCCTGGTGGACTCCTCATTTTCCCCTACCCTGGGAATTCCTGCCTCCCAGTTGATACCAGTGAGTATCTGGGTAGGGAATTCAGCTGAGAAACTGCTCAGGGCTTGGTGAGATTGTGTATTGGATTAAAATGGTGGCGGGCCTCCCCCAGTGGTGCAGTGCTTAAGCGCTGGGCTGCGAAGCTGCCCGCAGCCTCTGCAGTGCTGGTTCAAACCCCGGCCAGGCCACTGCGAGGGTCCCACATGGCGCAATAGACCTGTCCTGCCGCACCCGCTGCTCCCCTCAGCAGTGTACTTGGGTCCTTCTGCCTGTTCTGTTCCCGCTCTGGCTCTGGTGAATTCTCTCACCCTCCCGTGCTTCTGACTGTACCCAGTGCTTGTATAAATAAATAAATAAATCTTTAAAAAAAAATGGTGGCAAACTCTTTGTTACTCCTATTGAGAGGTGGGATCTCTACCTTCTTCCTTTGAATTTAGAGTTAAAAGAATTTAGTGATTTGAATAGAATACAATGTATCCTGGAACTTTTGACACCAGCTTCTAAACGCCTTGCAACTTCTGCCTTTGACTCTGAAAATTACTGCTCTAGGAACCATGAGCCACCACCAAGTCCATTTACCTCCATGCAGGAGAAAACATGGGTGAGAAGGCAGGTGATACCCTGAGCCTGCAGGGTAAAACATGGCTTGCTGTCTGCAGCCATTTGAATCAGGGCGCCAAGCATACGGTCCAAGTGGTCTCTGCCGTGCCCTGCTTGAAATGTAAAATAAAAGATTGTTGTTCTAAGCCACTAAGTTTTAGCATACTGTGCCACTCAATTTTAGATAACTGGGGCAGATTTGGAGGACAGAACCGAGCCCAAGATTTTGGCAGTGACAGTGGCTGGCCACTCCCAGCTCTATCCAGGAGCAGCTACCAAAGGTCTTTGAGCAACAGTCCCAGAGAACCAGGCCTTTGCTTGAATTGAATATTGGTGGGATCTGGAATGGGTAGGGTCAGCTCTTCCAAACTCTGTGACGATGGTAACTGGGTGGTCCTCAGCCATCTTGCCCACTATTGGATGTTTTTCCCTATCCCCCCATTCCTGCTGCAGTCATGTGTTGTATCAGGAACATGCTGAGAGAGATGAGGTGTGAAGTAGGTTTTCAAGGCAATACTCTGCTGTTCAGTGAGCAGCCCTCTTGCTATTTATTAGCAATAACAAATGAGCATGATTGATTATGTGACAAGAGCAGGAGGAACAGGGTCCAGAGGCGACAAAGAGTAATTATTTTTGGGACCCAGAGGGGGCATGTTGACCACATATACAGAGAGGGCTTCCTGTGTAAGTAGCAGTATGTACTTGATGTAATCTCTGAGCTATTCCCGGACCCCCTCAGACGATGATCACACAATCAGTTAATGGCTACCTAGGCATCCTCAGGCTTGCCTTGTGATGTCGACCATTGTCGTGGGGCAGTTATGCAGGAGTGCTTCTTCCACACTCTACATGCACAGGTGTATCACAAGGCCACAGTCACGGGGGGTCTGCCTCCATCTCTGCCTTACATGCCAGTATCTACCTTAACTTGGCAGTAGCCAGAAGAACCTAGGATTCTCCTGTACCCCAGTTTGCTTAAAGAGTCACACTAGCCCACTAACCCTCACTAAGTCCCCTTCTTAGGTATAGTTGGGATCCTCTGCAGTCAGTGTGTACCTTTCATTAACTAGTAAAAAGATTTGGTAACCTGTGTGCATGTGCAATCCAGTGGTTCATGCATAGGTTGAACCCTACCTCGCATCTCTAAGATCAGATTTTCAGTTTGCTAAGAAGTCCATTCTTAGGAACAAACTCCACAGTTAACCACCAACTGTGGCCTGGGCCACCAGCGCAGCAACCTTTCCTCTTCCTTATTCATCGAGGTCCTGTGTTGCCTCTTGTCTGGGCCACTAGGGGAGTAACAAACTATGGGGAGGGAAAGGTGAACCCAGACTTGATAAATATATCTCAGTGTGAGGAGAGAATCTGGAAAGGGTTTCCAGCCCAGTTACCCTCCGTTTACCTGTCCTTTGAGATTCATTCTTGTATCTACTATATCAGGTGGTTGGTAAGCAGTTTCCCTTTTAAGACTCTGATTCAAACTGGACAAAAACCTCTTTCTTTGTTCCTCTTAGCACAGCTGAACAGATCACCATTTTAAAAAAATGTACTAAACACTAAGCATAAACAAAAAAGACCTAGTTGCAGAAAATATAAAGTTAAAAAAAAAAAACCTTCATGTTCCCAAAACAGCAGTGTGTGATCACACAGTCATTTTTGTCTTATCAAAAAGAGCAGACACAACTTTTTAGCACCTGGCTTGAATGTTTCTCTGTTCAAATTCATCTTTCTGTTCTTCTCCATCCCATGGTAGCTACTGATTAGGATTTTGCCCAAAGTCTCCAAATTCCTCGAAAAATTTTGCAAAGCGCCATGGGACCTCTTCACTTCTGATCTATAGGATGCGTTACTTCCTCTGCTAATTGGCATTATTAAGTCTTTTTAAAAAAAGATTTATTTATTTCTGCATACAACAACTGGGGTGTAGGCTAGAGGTGTGTGGTGGGGAGGAGGTGAGAGGCTTCACCAGAGACAGAGTGGGTAGCAGAACAGGTGGATCTACTGAAATACACTGAGTGGTGGAGACAGGAGAGGTATGCTATGCCATGTGGGTTAGCTCCCTGGCTGTCCGGAGATTGAACTGGTGCTGTAGTGGCTGGCAGTAGCTTGATAGCGCTGTCTTTAACCCTGTGCCCCAGGGAGGCCCCTGGCATTATTAAGTCTTATTTTTTTTGCCATAGGATCATCTTACCCTGCCCGTGAGACTGGGCCTCTGCATATAGGGAATGAGTGCTGCATGGCAAGGACACAAACTAACAAACCCTTTCACACTCTGGAGGGTCAGACAGTATGGGAAGTGAATGCTGCTGTTATAATTAAGTGGGGAGTCTGAATTACACCCTAGCAGGAAGACAATCAGGAATTTTCCTGGTGACCTCTCTATCCCTAAAGTCAGAATACTTCATCTGAGAAGAATAAGTGCCCTTATCACGGAATGACTGTTGGTGCCTGCTGCAAATTACACAATCATTCTGGATTCAAGAAAGAGAAACAACTTCCTGACCAGACTCTAGTCAGAGCTCTTTGAGCACCACCTTCAATTGAGAATATTGATATTATAATCACAGGAGGTTGATCATGTAGTCATGTGTACTGTTAGGCTAAACAGTATTAATGTATTAAATGCAAACATTTAAAATACCCCAGAATTTTATAACCATGTATGGTAGGCAATCTCCAATTATAACAACACTCCATCAACACTTTTGCTGT